CACTTTCTATAGTGGAAAATGGACACTTTTGAAATGGCTTTATTAGCTGTCATTTGACAACATATTTAAGAAAGAGTGAACCTATCCAATAAATATATCCAGAGTCCTGCAATGGATCTGGGTTCTGTCGTTAAAGAGTATGATCGTCTCTTTCAAATTACTATACCTCAATCAGAATTAATTTTGCCATTTATAAAGAGGAAGCCAAAAAATTGTGTGCCCAAACAAAACACATAAAGAAATAAGAAAGAGAAAAAGAAAAATTCAATTTGACGAGAGGGTGGATGATGAACAAAACTTTTCAGCTAGTGATGAGATGAAAATCCGCACATTGTATATTAAAATCGACACTCTGATAAAAAAGGCTGAAATGACGTGTAGTATCTCAGTTTGACGAAAATCTAATCTGTCCACTTTATATGATTTTGACAACGAAGAATCAGGCTGAAAAATTGAAAATCTAAGTGAGGATTGCTCTCGTTTAGATATTTTCGAAAAATTTTCAAACCATGTCATTGTGCTTAAAATAGTGACTCAAACTCATGCTATGTGACTTGTTTATTGAGAATAATCAACAAAAAGCTTCGAAAAATCGCAAAACTATAGACTCAGATGAAATGTAAATGCTTGTAACAGTGTATTTATGCCTTTAGTGAAAAATAATAAAATGAAAGATTATTGGCCAGGAACGAAGGACTATTGGACAATATTATTGAAACACCCACTTTCGCACGTTAAGCCGCGTGAACAATAAAGATGATAGGTTGTTTGTTGACCGCTTCAAAAAAATGTTCAAAACATTATTCTATCCCTTCAAAAAGACATCGCTTTGGTATTAAGTTTTCATTTTAATGGATTGTGAAAGTGGATATGTTGGAGGGTTGGAGAAGGCCTAGAGGAAGAACCTTTTTTGAAATGCTAACATAAGTTTGTAACAGAAAATTAGTCAAAACTTCCGCGATTGATTTAGTCTTTTGCTAAAAGTTTTAATCTTTTGCACATTTCGAGGACAGAAAACGGTATTATTAAATAGTTTTCGTTCGTGGCTATCAAAATAGATGGCACCTCTGTACGCTAACCTCTGAAGTGAGAAATATTTTGGAGACATTAGTTGGACCTTCCGAGTTTGAATTTGTATCAGCCCGAGTTGTATAACGAGGCGAGGTTGCTGAAATAACAGTTATCAACACTCTATTGATACCGATTCAAACTTGCCTCACCAATAATAGAGAATATGATAGAAACGTTAGGACACTCAAAATTAACAATAAAGGAGGAAGATCAAAAGAGACTTGGGAAAATGCCTGGCAAACGTCAAATCGATTGGAATGTTGACATATATTATGTGGCGTATTGAAGTGATAGTTAATGCACGTAGTGTTAGTGTCATCTACTATTCAGACAGAATTGTGCCAATACAGTTTCATTGCTACTATTTACTTAACCAATGCAGTTTAAATTGGTTCTTTTAAAACCTGCCCGAAAAAACTCAGCATAATGTACGTAAATCAAAATACTGGTCGTTTAGTAAGGTATGAAACAGAACATAAACGAGTAAGCTGGATAGAAATATCGGTATACTATAAATATAATATAAAAGAAGAAAAAAAATATAAAAGTAAACCTCATTTAAGAAATTTTGGCAAGGATGTTGGCTATTACCTTTCTTTATATCTCCCACTGTCAGGTAATAAGCGATGTTATTGATTCAGTCTGTTTTAAGTTTTTTTTTCGTTTTCGTTTCAGTGAAATAATTGAAAAATTATGAAATCGAAATGCCATTGGCATATACTGTACTGTGAATCCCCGAAATATGTTAAAATACAAAATAAAATTTATATTAAAAGTAAATTCTAAATAAAAAGACATCTCTTTGTTGAATTTAAATACTGTTTTGTGTTTTAGAACTGTTTAATGCATGGCATTAACTTAAATATACTTTTTTCTAAAAACTGGCATTGTTGTGAATGTTTTTTTTTAATATATATAAAAAATATAAATATATTTAATAGAAATACCGTTTTAGTGTATAACTAAAGAAACGAAATATAAATAAATAAAATCTTGATTTATGGCTAGCTAAAAGTTTACGGTTCGAGACAATAGCGGCATTACGTAAAGTAAAATATTATTTAACATTTAAATATTGTGTTTTCACGTTGATGATGAATCCGTTATTATAATAGCTCTAGCTATCATAGTTTCTGCACTAAAATTTCTTTTTTTTTATACAAATTAAACCTAGAAGATAGGCTGTGGACAACATTCGAACTTATACGGGGAAAGCGAAATGAACATCAAGTCGATCTTCTTAGCTTCTCCGACACCGAAGCTTGGCATGAGATGGTTTGTAATTCACAATATCTACAGTCCAGCAAACAAAAAATGAAATGAGCGATGCGCGTAATCACTTACGTATTATCGTATTGCTTAACAGTCACTGTGATTTTAACCAAGAAGCGTGTCAGTAAACAATGGAAAGAAGCTAGTAATAGCAGGAAAAGTATAAATTTGAAAAGATATCGCAAACAATTACGACTTGAAGCTAAAAAATAGTGTCCCTTTTCTCTGTCTGCTTGGTTTAATGGTATATCAGGGTTCTCCTCCCTCAAACTTTTCCTTAAAATTGTCTGTCCATCTTCTTAGCTTTTCTTGTTGTTCTGTCAATTTATTACGCTCCTTATCTCTTCACATCTTTTGTTTGAACCCCTTTCTGCTTTTGTTCAGATTCTGGTAAAATATACTTATCTCTGTTGGCTTACTTAGCCATTTACACTATTTATGACGTCGACTACAAAATGTTAAAGTGTTACAATTATTATGTACTGGGAACAAAGAGCACCTGTAAACATGGGTACATATATAACAGGGGACTTATTGATAAAGAAAGGGGTGCGGCATGGTTGTGGACTCATCTATTCAGATATACTCTTGAACAAGCTTTAAATGCGATATCTTTGATATATTTACCAGAGAGAGAAATATAACCGCCACAGTACTATGTCACCGTATGGCACCATATTAAGAACGGATAGTAGGAAAATACCAGGCTGGTTTCAAAGGTGGTAAATCGCCAATTCGTCAGATTGCAATTGATACTCATCACACATTTATAGACTACAAAGCAGCCTACGACTCTGTGAATAGAAGAGAAATGTCTGTCTCCGGCTTCTTCACAATATGTAGCTTCTCCATATAAATTTTAAAGTGCTTGTTTGTCTTAGTGTAGTGTATTTTGTATTGTTATGTCCAGATTTTACATTTATGACATTCTACTATGTCGGATAGGCCACAATTGACGAAATGCCCCTGAAGATGATCTATTGATCGAAAGTACTTGGGCAAGATTAAATTAATCACCGTGTTCGATAGTTGCCTTGTACACCCTCAAGTAGAAGAGAAATGTTCAAGCAATGAAAGAGCTAGAATACCAAATCAGTTGGTAAATTTAACAAAACTAAGCTTGAAAAAGTTGAATGTAGAGTACGAATTCAGGGGGAACTGTCTGAACCTTTTAAAACTAATAAAGGGCTGCTCCAGAAACATCCTGGCCTATGCTGATGATATCAATATTGTTGGGAGAACGGAAAACGCTGTACGAGAGGCGTATGTTGCATTAAAAGAGGTAGTTACAAATATGGGTTTAATAATAAACACCAACAAAACGAAGTATATGAAAATAACAATACAACCACAAATTTCTACGACCACTTTTTATAGAAAACGAGTCATCGAAGCAGTGAAGCTATTTTGGGCTCAATCTCCTCTTAAATCCACCAGAACAAAAATAGAGCTTCTTAATAAAAATTTCTCTGTCTCGCTCGGGATAAAATATTACACATCATTTAGACGCCATAGATTATAAACCACTTAACGTTATAAAGAGTTACAACGAGTATAGAACGGTTTAGTGTGGAAAAATTTTGGAAGACCATACGCATGGGAAAAAGCACTATCCTTTGATGTAACACCAGATGTGACAGGTATACAGGTGGATAGATCCCTCTTCTTCTCTTCGTCCATCACGTGTAAATTCTTCTTTTCCATTTATCATTCTGGTGTGTGTGTGTGGGTGTGTGTATGTGTTTGAAACGTCATGTCAACTGTCATATATCAACTTCCACCCGTCAAGCCAAACTTCCTGTATGTCCAAACCAGCTAAAGACCGAACGTCCTCCCGCATTAATGTCCAGTCCTCCACTACTCTACATAAGCCTCCCAGGTAATGATCCAATTGCGTCTATATCAAATGCATTAAGATAAATGCATAGTGTATTTTATTTATCTAAAAGAGGCCTCCATAAACGTCCATTACTCATCATAGTGCTTCCGTATTTGTACGATGTTATCTGTACGCTAAGTCCACTGCCTTTTAGCTATCAGTTTTTCTTTTAAGTTTAATTTCATATTAAAAAAAAAAAACAAAGATTACACTCCGGAAAGGATTCGAACCTACGCAGGTAGGTTGCAATTGATTAAAATCTTTAATGTTAATTAATCACAATTTTAGTTTAAAATACACTTCGGAATGATTTCCGAAGTACTTTCACAACATGCGAATTGAACTTACTGCCTTCAAATTTGACGATATTTTGCTGCTGCTTCATTGTTTATATAAGGCAGTAAAAAATAAATGAAAAAAAAAAAGAATAATTTCTAAAATATGCAGAGTACAAATAAAAAATGTAAATATAATACAATGACAGAAAGCAGTACACTGAATACCGAATTTTTAAATTAATAACATTTTTAGTACGTCCATAAAATTTGAAAATATTTCATGGATTTAATGATTTTCTTGTTTCCAGTTTACTTTATATTACTTTTTAAAAATATATGATAGTATAGCCATACACTAAACATTCCTACATCGGTAAGGTTGAACGAAATAGCAATAATTAAAAAACCTCGTATTCTTGAGATTATCTAATTTGTTCTTTGCCTGTTTCAACCTACGCGATGGCGCGGTCACATCAATACAATCACTTTTTGAAAAAGTCTCAACCACAAGATTCGTCAGGTTCTTATCATGTATGACAATTAGTGCTAGTGGACGGGATGTCAATAGTGTGGCTCTCATTGCCAAATTTAAGCTTTAAGCGTTTCATGGGGATCTGTGGCAGGGCTGCTTCAGCTAACCTGAAATGTACAAATATCATTTATTACACAAATCAAGACTCAGCCTATAAATAATAGTTTTTTGAATTTCAAGCACTTTAAAAGTATCTTCACATTGATACAAAGGTGCGGAATGGGTGGCATAACAATTACTGAATAGACATGCACATAATTAAGTTAAAATGGTGGAAACTATTTATTTAGTTATCAAAACTTGACAGATGGTAACAGAATTTGCTAAAAATGTGCAGTAACTCAACTTTTTCCAACTTTATATAATTAAATTAGTGACTGGTGTTCAAAATTAGGAAAATATGCAGTGGTGCGTGCTGATATTCTTTCAGTTACCCACAGAGAGCAACGGATTTTAAAGAATTGGGCTGTAAAACAGAGAAGAGTCACTCACAGAGATGTAATAAATACATTGTAAGAAACAGGTGTTCAGTATCGGTGGCCACTGTACACCGAAATTTGTACAACATGGGGTTCAAATGTAGCAGACATCCTCCTTCTAAACGCCTTCTCTGTTGAGGTTGGCGATCAATATGACAAATTTCTTTCTGTTCTCGGCTTAATGAATTAATTAATTTCCTCTTGTGTGGGTCCAATCTCTGATGTTTCGTAGACAAGATTTTTTCTTTCGTCCTATGCCCCTTTTACGTTCAATCTTGCCTTCTGATATTACCTGGAGCTGCTCAAATTCCCTATGATGCATTATGTGCAGGGTGACCATATGTACTTTTTTTTAGTAGGACAGTACTTTCTTTTCAAACGCTGTCCCTATTGTACTTTAAAATTTATGAAGTACACCTAAATGTACTCTTTTTCTTAATTACACAAAATTAAGTCCTACTTTTTGTCCAAACAAAATATAATTATGATTCGAATTGATGTGCTCACATTTTGACTTAAATTCCGACACTTTTTCTCTTTTTTTATATTATTTTGTGCTGTGTGGAAAAATAAACAATTTCATCACGTTACCGCTAGAATAAAATGCCATTTTAACGCCAAGTTGCAGGCAGAGTATCCTTTTATGAAACAAAAATCAAATGTTTCACCGCATATTGTATTTCGCGAAGTTTGTAAAAGTGATGTTTATATTTCTAACAGTAGTCGCAGTAATATCTAACAACATTTGTCAAAGAAAAAATACATGTTGGCTACTAATGCGAACTCAAAGAGCAGCAAATTGGAAACCTTTGTTAAAAAAGAAGATTTAAGTTCTGAAAATATGTTGATTGATGCCAAGGAAGGTACTTTTGCTTACCATAAAATTAAGCATTTGCAAAGTTTCAGATCTTTAGACTGAAGATCTTATGATGGAATATTATGATGGAGAAAATGGTGTCCAAGTAAAATTACTTCAGCTACGTGACTTACCTGGTGAAACATCAGAGCAGTTAAAAGATTACGTGGTCAATGTTTTGATCCATCATAATTTACTACAAAAATTCATTGGAATGTCTGCTGATAATACAAATACAAATTTTGGTGGAATGAGAAAAAAAGGACTGAATAATCTATTCAGCAAATTAAAATGCTTCTTGTGGAAAACACGTGATTGGAATTGGTTGTGTGGCACACATTTTTAATAACTGTTTTACAAAATGCGACGGTCGTCTTACCCATAGACAATCGAGGTTATTGCGGTCAAGATGTTTAAGTATTTCTATATTTTTACAGTCAGAGTGGAGAAATTAAAACAGTTTGCGATTTTGTTGATATCGAGTACAAAAAAATGTTGTCGTTTTCAAAAACAAGATTTTTGAGCCTATGCCAGCCAATGAACTAATTATTACAAATGTTCGAACCCTTGAAAGCATATTTTTTGTCGATTGATAATTGTCCAACAGTTCTAAAACAGTTTTTTAAAAACCCAATCAGTGAAACATGGATGTGGTTTGTGCATAACATTGCGTCTCTCTTCCACAAAGTGATTTTAGATGTAGAAGGTGACAAAATATGCGCACGGAAGCCGCTTTGGAGTATTTTAAACTCATAAATAAGCTTCAAAATCGCTTAAATAAGTTATTTTTACTGCTTAACGTAAGAGAGTCCCTTTCAAAACTTGAAACTATGGAAGACCTTGACCGTAATGTGAACTATCGGGATATCTTTATCACGCATGTCAAGCAGTTTTATTCAAATTATGTAACATATTTGAAAAACTGGAGTGAAAAGTTAAGTGAACTGAAGCTATTTGGATGAATTAACTTGAAAAAACAAGTTTCTTGGGCTGAAATTTTATCGTCGTGTGAGGCTTTCAAAGACTACATAGGTCCGATATGAATCAGGACGAACTGTTTGATGAAGTTAGTCTAATACGAACCTACGTTACAGAAAATAAAATCACAGACTGGAATTCGAACAATATTTTTACCGAAGATCGATGGCTCGAAATCTTCCAAAAAGAAAGGGCTTGAAAAATCTCAAAATTCTATGTGAGTTTGTTTTTTGTCTGCCTGGGACCTGTGCGTCGATTTAGCGGTGTTCTCAAATATCAATAACTATTGGAGTCCCAACAAATCGCAGTTGAAAATATCTACTCTGGAAGCAATCATGCAAGTCTACATAAACTTTAAAGTTTCGTGTATCGAAATGTTTCAGTTCTTAAAGAGTAACCACAACTTCCTGAAGGAAATTCATAGTTCCAAAAAGTACGACTGGTACCAAAATGATGATCAAGATATTCAGAAAGGAACGTCGAAAGAAAATTAACTATTAAAATTTATCATACATTTTTTATGTACTTATGTTTAATTAAAAAAATCGTTCTTATCATTGTTTCAGTAAAGATTCGTAAAATTTTGACCTGAATAATTTCCTAGGGCACTAGCAGTGTACATATTTTCTTAAAAATTATAAATGTACTTTTTTTTTGTTGGAAAATTATGATCACCTAATTATGTGTCCTAGATATGTCTAATTTTGATAGTATTGACCAGATGAGTGCGTGTGTTCATTACTCTGAATACTTCTTCCTCATTCGTAGTTCTGCTGGTCCAGCTTATCTGGTCTGCCAGCCATATAGTACTAGAGACCACACATAACACTTTATTGTTCTCAATCTTATTGCTATAGACGCATGTTGAGGATTTCCTGGATAGAAAGAGTTACCAACGAAGAAGTACTACATATAATGGGCAACGAGCGCGAAAAACGTCGCGCATCAAGGTCAAGGTAAAGTGCATGGGAAGAGAGGTCTAGGATGAAGAATAATATCCTTTCGCTTTTATTCGCAGGCTGCATAACCTGCGAAAATGGTTTAACTTAACCACTACCGGACTTTCAGGGCAGCAGTCAACAAAGTCATAATTGCCATGTTAGTGTCCAACATCCGTAACGGATAGGTACCATAAAAAGAAGAATCTTATTGAGACTGATAGCTTGGGGTTACAGAGCATTTTACGCATATTCATGAAACCAGATCTTGCTATTTCAATGCGTCTTCTAATTTCTTTTGAAAGCAGACATAACAGAGATATATAAGGAATAGATTGGAAGAAGCAGGGTGTTCAATATCGGTATATGTTAAGAAGTCAAAAATAAAAAGAGGGTACTCGAAAGTTACAAGTGAAAAACCTATTCAGGGATTCATAGAGTAATATCTTGGTTGACGTGGAACAAAACTGTAAACACACTGTAAACTACAACAGCCAAAGCAAAGAGCAATAAAGCATTTGTATCCAACCAAATTGCATTTTTTTTACAAAAATGAACAATTATATCATTGCATGTTAATTTATAATAAGCTGAACGGCGTCTCGAGTCCTTTAGACCCACTTTGCCCATACAAGGATTAATATTTACTTCGATTTAGTTAGTTACCCAAAAAGAATTAAATGAAAAACCATGATGGCATGAAATCTGTTTAGAGTATTTATGTTAGAAAAAGCAATATGTAGTAATGTGATAATTTCTTCTAAATTATTTATCAGGGCTCAAGAAAAAAAATTACCATACCTATGTCTTTTCTCGCGTCTCCTTTCCTTTGCTTTATGCCTCTTTTTTCTGTGCGAAAACGGAGTACACGCAATATTATCTACTCCTTCCACTCGAAGTACTTCATATTCGGGTTCGAAGTAATCCTCACTTAAACTATTTCCGGATTCTATAACCTCGTCCAAAACTGGACTGCGCTTCATGCGGAGAGTCAACTTTAATCGGCCGCCACACTTCTCTGGGGTTTTCTGTTCTACTGGTACTTGAACACACTTTGGTGGGCTTTCTGTAAGAATTAACATAAATATTACAATCAAAATATCATCACAAAAATGTAGATCAAAATTGTGTATGTTTGTAATGGCCAGATGGCAGTGACAAAAATGAAACAGATTATATTATAACAAGCAGAAAAGAAATAATCAAAGACATCGAACTATTCAATAAATTTTCAATAGGTAGCGACCACAGATTAACTCCAGCTAAAATACTATTAGATGTCAAATTGGAAAGAACGAAGATGTTCCTAAAAACAAGAAAAAAGAAATGGATTCCTCCATACATATATAAGACTTGCAAGATAAAATAGAAGATGTAGATCGAGCAAAAATGATGGTATTACGGAGAATTAAACATGAGTGCAGTTGCAGTTAGAGTGGGTGCGGTTGTCCACACCCTTGGTTGAAAAGTGACAGCAGACGCGAAGAAAGAAGAAGAACATGAAGACAGATATACACTTTATTTTGAGAGTAGAAGTGCAATTTTTGTAATAAGTTTTTTTGTAAGTTTGTTTCAGTAAAAATAAAGTAGAAACTAGTGTATCAATTTTTACGCAAGCGAGTTATCCAAACAAGCGATTTTACCCCAACAGATAGCATAACGAAGATTCTAAAAGAAACGGAAAGGTAGTGCTGCCCGATCGGTGTGACTTATAAAGAAAAACTAAGCGAAAACTAAAGAGTTAATAGGTAAGAAGACAGCTGACGGAAAAATACGGCTTCAACTACAAAACAATAAAGTAAACATATCCACCGGCCAATCCGAAAAGCCGTAAGAGAAAACAATACAAGAGAAATAAGTAAAACATTTCAAGAAAACAAACGTTTAAAAGTTTTGAGGCGAAATACGAACAACATAGGCAACAAAAATATGTACAAAATAAAAAACCAAAGATGGAAAAAGTTACTACTGATAAAATCAAAATCAAAGGTTATCCTTTTTTTTTTCATCACAAACCAGGGATCAAAATTATTGCCAGAAATAACTAAATAAGAAATCAAAACGCCACTTTTAGAAATGAAAAATAACAAATCCCCTGGCGATGACGGAGTAGTGATCGAAGCGATCAAACTAGGTGGAAATAAAATTATCCAGGCTTTGGCCAAGCTTTTCACCGAATGCATCTACCTAGGAAAAACTCCTCAATGGAACAATACAGTCATTATTTTATTATACAAGCAAGGAGGACACAACAGATCTAAAAAACTACCTTATTATCAAAACAAGACTGGACGCTAAATTAGACTTCTATCAGCCTATAGAACAAGCTAGATTTAGATCGGGATACAGCACTAACGACCTCTGACCAATGATAAAGAACCTGATAAAGAAGCCTGCAGAATACAACAAACCATTGGCACTGATATTTGTCGATTACGAGAAAGCTATTTACTATCAACAATACGCAGATTGAAAATGTGGAAAGCATTACGTATCTTGGAAGTACCATAACAGAAAGCGGAGGTACAGAGGACGATATTCGTATGAGGAAACGAAAAGCTCAACAAGCATTCAACATGCTCAACCCTGTTTGGAGATCTGGCGAGTATATTACAAGGACAAAGATCCGCATACTCCAGTTACATGTCATGTCTGTTCTACTCTACCGATGTGACACCTGGAAAGTGACAAAAACCCTTACAGATTAGCTGCAGGTCTTTATTAATAAATGTCTACGACAAATTGTTCAAGTTTTCTGACCCAACATCATCAGAAACGAAGATCTACTATACCTGACCGAACAAAAAAGGGTAGAACATCAAATAAAGTCCAGAAAGTACAGTTGGATTGGTTACACACTCAGAAAAAATAATTTCAGTATTGTAAAGATTGTCAGAATCGTCCAGTACAAACTTTCAGAAGATCCATCATGGACGAGATAAGAGGTCAAGGAAAGTCTTGGAATGAGGTGAAGGCCTTAGCGCAAAATAGAACCCGATGGCGCGTTTTCACTGAAGCTCTATGCTCCAATTAGTTAAAAAGCCTTATATAAGTGTTCTGAAAGACGCTGGAAAGATATTGTTGCAAAAAAAACATCTGATAAAACAAGTCAGCACGCAAAGAAGCTTATTGAAAAACGAAGACTTATCTAACACATAGTGAAATTGACACAAATAAGCAAAGAAATATCAAAAGACAAAGAAATATGTACGAAATAAAATACATACACTATTTCAGAAGTAATAGCGCAGAATAAAGGCTTAAAAACATTAAGAAGAAATCCAGCCAAACAACTAGAAGACATGAAAACTCAGTGACCCAGAAGGTACAGTAACATCAGATAAAGAAAATATAATCCAAATTGTGAAAGGTTTCTACATCGTGCTTTCTTAGAAAGCTAACAATAACGTAACGATAGTTATAGTTTAGAATCAGAGCTCAGAAGATATACCGCAAATTACATAATCAGAAATTGAAATGGTATTGGGAAAAAACAACAATCACCACGAGAAGATGGCATTGTAAAATAAAGTATTAAAGCAGAGGAACGAAAATTATTTTACACTCCCAAAGTTCTATTTACTAGATGTTTAGATGATTGAAAAAGCCAATATCATGGAACAATATCAGTATGATAAGTATGCATGTGGATGGGAGAACAAGACTTCACACGAAATAACTTTCCTTTCTTATGTACCATAAACGTGAGGAATAGAATAGAATAGAATTTATTTAAATCAATATACAAAAATAGTTTGTTTTTGACAAGTCAAGGAATAGTGACAATACTTATAAAACATAAAATTTTTTTGGATAATGTAAACATTACAAACATGTATGTATTTAATATTAACAGTTAAAAAAAAACGACAAACACACTTTGTGGAATTATAAAAAACATGAAATATAATTATAATAGGCAACTGCCCTGACCAAACTAGTACTATTGTGTAAAAGCTGTACTTAAGTACTCCGTTTTTGAATAGAAACAATGTTTCAAAAAGTGTGATTTGATTTTATGCTTAAATGATAACAAATGAAGACTTTTTACTTCATCTGGCAAAAAGTTATACAAACTAACGTCAGTCGAATTTTTTACGCTCTTTGTCAACCTAAAACGTTGTGCTCTAATAGCATCTCTAGATCTTGTATCGTGATCATGGACGTTGGAGTTTACGTTAAACTTATCTTTGTTGGCATGAATTTCAATCAGCGTCTCATATAAAGAGTGAAGGTAGTGGCATAATACCTAAATCCAGAAATAAAGGTTTACAGTGTTCCCTATACTCTGCTCTTGCAGTATCCTCACTACTCTTTTTTGTAATTTAAAAATTCGATCTGCGTAAGAAGAATTACCCCAAACAGTTATTCCGTACTGTAAATGGCTATGAAATAGTGCAAAGTAGCACATTCTAAGGGTATTTTTAGGAATCATATAAACTAAGTTGCGTATTAAAAATATACTTGTAGCAAGTCTAGAACTTAAGTAATCTATATGAGCACTCCAATCCAAATTATCGTCTATAAAGATTCCTAATAGTTTAACACTATTTCTTAAGATATACTTCCAATCAGAAACTAAAAATCAAATTCTGATTTTTCTGAAATGTATTCATATGTATGCACATGTCCTAATACTAAAGGACGAATATATGAAAGAAAAACCAAGATTTTAGTAAATTCTATGTAAAAAAGCATTAACTCTTTTAGCTGTAGTTAATACTGACAAAAACTGTGATCTTGAAAAACAATAAAATAACAAGTGAAGTTAAATGATCTTAAAGACAGAGAGCTACTAATTCTAATGAATATAGTACTTAAAGAGAAGTGCATTATTTTGTAGTGAACTATGATGTAACGTATAGCAAAAGATTTGGTAAAAGAAATGTCGAAAAACGATTAATAGTATGGCAGCGAAACTTACGAGTATGGTGTGGATGTATCTCAGGACAGGTCTCCAAATCTAGAGTTCCAAAAGGTGAAGTTTGCATGATTGCATGATTACTTTTGTAATGAAAATCCTTGACTTAAACTTAAAGCACGCAAAAAAGAAGCTGAAGTATTCTTCAAAAAAAATTTTAGAACAGAAATGATAGTCCACCTTACGAAAGGTTATAAACGCAAAATATTTATCTCTTCTATTTATATATGTATTATAATAAATTAAAACCTAAACATTTATAAAAAAATGTAATCTATTTCAATTACACGACTGATAAAATCCTTACGCTTGATAATTAATAAGAAAGCTATTCTAAGTACTCAAAAAACAATGATTTGCATTTAACAAGTGCGACAATCAGTATTTCAGTTGAAGAACCATTTGTAAGTACCAACAATAAAGCAAAGTTTTAATACATTGAACATTCATGTTTAATGTATTAAAATTATCAAATCTCATCGTCATTTAACAATTTAATTGTATGATTTGACAACAGCTGCAATTTTAAATCTGAATCATTAAAGATTTTATTTTGTTATTATGTGGTATACAATACGGAGTGAGTTTTATGAAAGTTTTAATAGATTTTGTGTAAGAGTCTTGTGATGCGGCTATTATGGTGGTATTTACATTGTTGTCAGATCTTCCGTTTTTCTGAAAACCTAACGAACTTTCTTATTTCAAATGGATCACCCTGTATATTTTTTTCTTTTAAAGTCCTTAAGAAATGCTGATTATTTTTCACATAATGTTTAATATACCTAAATGCCATAATTTCTGTGTTTTTGTTATTGATTTAAAATAATATATTTAGATAAATGAAATCATTTAATATGAATAATATACAATAATTTATATCCTAATAATATCATAAAGTCTACTGTCCATAAATTTCCCCTCATCAAAACAACTGTCGGCGCCAATAAGGCTGGAAATCAACAAGCTGAAGCAAGAACAGTGCAGGCAAGTTATAGCCAGCCTTGACCAGCGAGACGGGTCAAAATTTTGAAACAAATTTAAAATCCTAACCAAGCAAAACTAATTCAGTCTCGATCTCATCTCAAGTCAATATTACCATAATCAATAATCCGCAAGTAAGGCCGAGCTCTTAAAAAACTCACTTCAGGGTGAGGGGTCTCCCCTAATAACCCCAATCTTAGCGAACGATTTAAAAAAGATACCGAAAGAAGAGTGGAAAACCTATTCTACTGCCCCTCAATGCACATGGAGGCCCAAGCTTATCCGATGGTGGCACCTGTGCTAGAGGGCACCGTCAGGCCGATGTGTAACTTAGGTAAAAACACATCTCCTGGCCTAGAAGGCATTCACAGAAGATGCCCCAAAAAATTCCCAGAGAGTATTATCCCGCTGCTTACAAACATAATCAATGCATGTCTCCAGTTTCCTACTTCTTGAAAAGTAGCTAACACAGTCATGATTCCCAAACCAGGGAAACCTCCAACCAGCACTGAATCCTACAGACCTATCTCACTATTCAGTACCTTAGGTAAAGTCTATGAAAATATCCTAAAGGAGAGACTCATAGAATCCATAGACGCACGTCTTCTCATTGCACCCAACTTTCAATTTGAGTTCAGGGCTGAACACTACGCACAAAATGCATTGATTGAAGCAGCAAACTTCATATTAAAAGCCCTAAATAAAACAAAGAGATACGCCATAGGCATCTTCCTTGATATCCAGAATGCTTTCGATCAGGCCTGATCAATAAGCTCCGCCGTACTGGACTGCCTACCCCTATCTCTCCAATTGGACAATCCGTGTTTAAGTCGCTAACACGTTATCAACACCATTCACTCCACAAGCTAGAGTCCTCCAAGGCTCAATTCTAGCACCAATATTATACACAGTCTACTACAGTGACATCCGACACCCGTTGACTAGATCAGAATCAATATTATTATTTGCTGATGATACTGCACTCCACCCTGTAGGAACACATAGAAAGACGCTGAGGCAGTCGTTTGTGTTCGATAGAGCACAGGACCAGTTGAACATAATTGTCAGGTGATGTAACCAATGGAGAGTCACACTCAATGCCTCCAAAACGCAATTAATTTTGTTCAAATCGCCTCACAGCCGTGATAGAACAGGTAAATGAGTATATCTATCTAGGACAAGCAATCAGAGCTAACAGAGAAAATCAAACAGCCGAAATATCGAGACGAGTAAGAATGGGATGGGCAGCGTTCGGCAAACTTTCTTACGTTCTAAAAAATCAAACAATTCCTCTATACGTACGAAACAAGGTATATAACTCCTGTATAATACCGATGCTCATCTACGGAGCACAGACATGGACATTTACACAGGCCAATTTGGATAGAATAAGGAAGGCACAAAGAGCGATGGAGAGACAAATGTTGGGTATATCACTTAAAGATAGAAAACGTAACCAGTGGATCAGAACCAGAACAAAGACAGTAGACGCGATAGAACAAGCAGCAAAACTGAAATGGAAATGGGCTGGACACAATGAACGTCTCCAAGACAGACGATGGAACAATGCCATCGGAAAGTGGCGTCTATACAATGCAAAGAGATCAAGAGGCAGACCACAGATGAGGTGGAAAGAGGACATCAGGAAATAAGGAGGTCCCACATGGCAGAGAACAGCTCAAGATAGGGAAAGATGGAGAGAACTGGGGGAGACCTATATCCAACAATGGAAGGATAGAGAATAGGTTAAAAAAAAGACTCTCTTGCACACCTAAAACTTTCATCTGGCCTATCATCGAATACAAGGCGTGTGTCTAAATCGTCACTAAATCCTCATCAAACTAACGCCATTATGCCATATTAGCCCGATATAACAATTACAATGGAGGCACTGATCAGATGGAGGCTAATGTCAATGTGCATCGGATTGGAATTTAAAGGGAAAAAATGGTGGCTTTCTATCTTCACCTTGTTGTTCCATGTTCACAATGTTGTCAGCATTCAGAACGCGTGGGTTCTAACCAGAAGTACGGAGAAAAAATGTTGCCAACTTCAGTTTAGAAGAGAAATAGTTCAAGGCTAGTTATCAAAATACAAAAATCCACCTAAAGGAGCTGATAGTTCAACATCTGCTGGGGACTCTAGAGTACACGAAAATATTCAGTTTGAGCATTACATTGAATACGTGCCTAATTCAAAACGAAAACGTTGTGCACGGGCTAACCATGTGGCAGTGCCGTACGATCGCAATGCCAATAATGTGATATTGGGTTATGCATTAAAGATAGTTCAAGCACTCCTGACCATGGAGTGCATAGTACAACGCGTTTCGCACAGAAGTGAGGACTACAGCAAATTTCGTCTACTGTGCCGTGGTCAAGAGTGCTTGCACGCACTATACATGTTTTGCTTCCTTTCATACAAAAAAAGTACCTATTTGTTTATTGTTTAAGTTATAAATTGTTTAGAATATGTGTCTCATGTGTTTATATAAAATTTAGGTCAATACTACTGTAACTTAAAAAAACTTTTAATTAAAATTAAAAATCCTTTGTAAAAGGTATATTTTAGGCCCAAACGGGCTAGGTTAAAAAGACAAAACGTTTTCGGAAACCATGTTCCATCATCAGTGTCCTAGAAAATAGTTAACCACTTAATTAAAAAGAACATAGGTTAAAATTTTGACTAAGGTTAAAGAACAATGTGGTTAATACTTACTAGGAGTACATGAATGAAGCCACCAAGATTAAATATGTGGGTAAAAACCCGATTACATATGTTTAATTACATTTAGTTTTAAATTAATGTTGAAATGATATAAGATTACAGAGTTACCGATGGATTTGGTAACATGGCGACATATGACTCCACGTTGAAGTTGCTAGTCCTGAGACGGTATGTCTTCGAGGACTATATGAGTGCAACTGATTGGTAATGACATTTGATGACATCTGTGTCATCAAATGTCATTGCCAATCAGTTGCACTCATATAGTCCTCGAAGACATACCGTCTCAGGACTAGCAACTTCAACGTGGAGTCATATGTCGCCATGTTACCAAATCCATCGGTAACTCTGTAATCTTATATCATTTCAACATTAATTTAAAACTAAATGTAATTAAACATATGTAATCGGGTTTTTACCCACATATTTAATCTTGGTGGCTTCATTCATGTACTCCTAGTAAGTATTAACCACATTGTTCTTTAACCTTAGTCAAAATTTTAACCTATGTTCTTTTTAATTAAGTGGTTAACTATTTTCTAGGACACTGATGATGGAACATGGTTTCCGAAAACGTTTTGTCTTTTTAACCTAGCCCGTTTGGGCCTAAAATATACCTTTTACAAAGGATTTTTAATTAAATTTTTAATACATGGTATACAGCCAACTACAGGAACGTAGATTCCTTGTGGATTAAAAAAACTAATTCAGACATAATGGGTTAACTTAAACATGCCACAAAAAAAAAACAGTTTCGGAAGTTTTATTATTATTATTTGTTATGTTTATTCATAACATTCTTTGTTTAAAGGTCTGTAGTTTTTTTCCTCACTCCAGAAGATTGTGATGATCTTTCAAGTTGTAATATTTGCTATTTTTTATGTGCAATAAAAATTTTACTATTTCTTGAGCTTATTTATTAAGTTTTGGAGACGTATTGTGCCATGGGATAGGTCATACCTCACCACACCAAGCTCGTAAGTTTCAAGCATCACATCAACAAAAGTAGAGTACATTAAATCTCATTTATGTTAAATATTAGAATGGACTTACCTCTTATTTCTCTATTAATCCAATTGCTGGTCTCAACGGCAGTATGCATTTGTTCAGACTTTTCTCTCATATTTGTATGATTTTCACTACTATCTTGTACAAGTTTATTTTTACGCAATAACACAGCTTCATCCGTAATATCTTCATCATCGTTAAATTCGTAAATATCGCTTTTTTCATCACATTTTGCTTCTTCAATTGGAGTACTTGGTCGATTCGAGTTCCTCCTTTTTATCGCAACGTCAAATTTATCACTAGGCGATTCTTGATACTCCGATTTGTCGTTTGATATCACTTTAATATCAGGCATTATTTTAATTTCAGACATCACTTTGATTTCTGTCTCTAATTTGACGTTTGTCTCTAGTTTGACATCTTTCAAAAGTTTGATGTTATCTGTGATGTGGTTGACATTTGTCATGCCATTTTGATTGCAGTCTACTTGCGTTTGAGGATGTATAACCGGTTGTAGATCTTCGGAGGGCGTACAAGGAATTATGTCTGGAACTGGGTCGCTGAGACGTTTGTGATTGCGTAACGTGATGCCTGCCATTGCTGCCCCTTTTTCGTCCATATCTAGTCATAGAAAATTCAGTTTAACAATGTTTATAATTTTTACTACTTGAGCTAACAATTGCAAATAATAAATTAACGCTATAATATAGGTAAATACGTCATTCAGTAACTACTAGAAATTCTCAGATTAGCGTTTGAATATATGGTTTTTATTCGTTGTGATTTAATGATACAAATTATTTGATTAATTTATTAATGAATTAAAGAAAGTAAATAGCTATACACACTATATACACGGTGGGCCAAATTTATTTGGAACCCATTTTGGCCTTAAGTACCTTTCTAAGTTTTGTTGCCTTTTAAAACTGGTCAGAATGTTGGAGATATGACCGCAAATGTTTTCTGTATGGTGAACCAAAGAAATGAATGTGATTTCATTTGTAACTTTTATTACCTCGTATTTAGTGCAGTGCCACGTTTTTGAAGTTATACTTCTATATGCACGGTCGGCGTTGGAAATTTGCATGAGAGTGAATCTGTGAAACCCATCGAGTTAGAATCTATGGAGAAGCTATGAGCATATTAACGTGTGTATTAAAAACGGCGTAGGCTAACGATAATACCAATATGGCGGTGGGATCATGGCCGGACTCAATAATATTAAAACTACTATAAAAATATGACTAGTTATTTAGAAGATTTAATCATAATCTAAAAAAGTGCAACACATTTTTAATAAACTATGATTTATTTATCCGCGGTAAACACTAAAAACACGATATATTATACATAATGATAAATTAATACAGTCAAATACTATTAATTTATTCTCTGAAGTACGGGCCATTACTTTGTTTACATATTTGTATACTAACCTGTACAACGTTATTCCTGAAGATTTTTTATTAGCATTGCTTCTGCTACTGCAACTACGTTGAGAACAAGAAACCATTATTATGTACTATCGCAATATATTATTACAGTTTCCATAAAAGTATTATAACACTAAAAATATTTGAAAAACAACAAACGTAAATAAACTTATACGATTTGTCAAAAGTGTCAAAACAATATTAACAATAGTAATAACAATATGGCCGAAGTGGGGTCGTTTTTAGCCACGTGATGTCCTCTCCATAGATTCTCGATGGAACTCGATGGTGAAACCATTACATATGTAAAATAATGAGTAAGAGAGAGACATTTTCTCTCTCTTCCTCTCTCGAGAATAAAAATGTTCCTTTTGTATATATTTAATATTATATATATATATATATATATTATATATATATATATATATATATATATATATATATATATATATATATATATATTATATAGTATGTATTAATATTATTATTTATGTGATATGTTTTGTATTATTTATTAAACCTTTATAATTATTTTAGGCTTTTTATATTTCAAAATAATCACTGTTTGACCTAGAACTGTTAATTTTGAAATCTGTTAATGTCATGTCCAATTGGCAAATCCTTTACGTGTTAGGTTCATACGCTGATGTTTGTGAGTTCGAATCCCAATATGAATTTCCTTTTTTTATTTTTGAAATATTTAAAAACCTCACGTTAATCTTATTAAATATATGTAATATACACAAAAATGCTAAATTTTAAAATAAAATGAAAATTTACAACATAATCCAAATTTTTGTTGGTTTTTTATTTTTATCTTCATAAAGTAAGATATGTATATTGGTAGTTTTCTAAGAAGAGGAGTGGCTGATGCAGTAGAGAGAGTAGCAACACTGAAATGGAACTGGGCAGGTCACGTGGCTCTAATGACAGATAATAGATGGATAAAGCGGATACTGGAATGGAGACCAAGAGATGATGCCTGCCGAAGCAGAGGTCGTCTTAGTCTGTTAATAGTTCAGTAAATTATATACAATATTATTATATTAAACTAATATATACAATAGTTTCGATTGCGGTACGAGTACTGGACGTGTTCATACATACATGTAAATTCATACATTATGTTTACTTCGATTCCCGAAAATAATTGGATTAGATTCAAATTTATAGAAATCCTAGAAACGATGAACTCGTTTCCTCACATTTGCATAGAAGATATGAAATGCCAACATTACAAAGGCAGCTGATCGGAAGTATCCTTGATATTCCCGAAAATAAGGCTAACGAAGAAGAAAAGCTTGAAATAAGAAAATATTGCTACATCTGTCCATACAAATTAAGAAGAAAAACTGCATATTTATGCACAAAGTGTCAAAAACCCATAAGTTTGCAATGTTCTCGAAAAATTTGTATAAATTGTACAAGAGTAGAATAGATTTTTAATGTTTTTGTGATTTGCAGGTTTTATGCAGAATTGCAATTATATTGTTAACAATTTTTTATAGAAAATGTACCTATTTTTAAACATAGATATATTATATTTGTTTGTATATGTTTTAATTTTTTTTTGGAATATGACTTTCAAAATTTTGTGATATAAAATGTGTTACCATTTTTTCTGTTTTTGTTATGTCCTCAAGTTTGATTTTTTTCTTTTTCACTAAATAAAAATGACATTACAATATTTTTTTATAATTAAAAACTGTTTTATTGCATTTTTTAGGTGCCAGCTTGACAAAAACAGCTTTTTTAAGCCAGGGGTCTGTCAGACTCATGGTCACCAGTTATGTAATTAAAAATAGTATCACCAGTTAAGGGTTAACTATGTAGAATAATATATTTAAAGTTGACCTACCTATAGGAGTGATTCCATTCCCACTTTCATGACTATCATTAAACTTATCCTGTTGAGAAACAGCATCGCATGCAGGTTCAGTATCACTGAAAGTACTAGGGCAGCTACTAGCATTACTCTGCAAATCGTCTAGGAGATTCGATCTTGAAATAGTTCTAGGAGCACTTTGCATCAGCTCTAAATTTGCTTGTCTAGCTTGTCTCCGTTGCATACGCGACTCTCTAGTATTGGTTGCATTTATGGTATCTTGTATCACAGACTTTTTATTTTTACTACTATTAGTACTACACTTTTTTATTTGTTTATTTGAATTAATATTTACATCGCGCTTACGATTAAATTCCGCTATGTCAGAAAATTTACATCCTTGAGCAATGAGGAGTTCAGCGTCATATTTGGTTAACCCTTTCTGCCGCAGCTCCTTCATGCTCAAAGGACTGATTATTTTACCGTTTTCCGGGGAAAACTGTTCATGACAATTAACTATTTTACTACCCTGTACTTTTACTTTAGTTCGATTGATACGATTGTCCGTTTCGCGGAGTTTGTAACCATTTTCCTCCTGCTGGTCTGTTTCTTTGGCAAACGCGCCCATATTACGTCGCTCACAGGTTTCGCATTCACAATAACAGTTTTTGTCGCCGAAGAAATCCTCGCCGTAAAAGCAAGTGATCTCTTCGCCCACTTCAATGTCGCGCAATACTTTGACACAAGCCGTGTCACGACCTGTAGCCACGAACTTACAATTGGCTCGGCAATCATGGTTAATGTATGCTGCTGGACCTGCGAAATAAAACATGTTAAGAAAGTCACAAATTAAAAAGAATACTAATGAACATTTCGACAAATATACTATTATTATAATAAGACCAATAAGGGAAACTCGGAAGTCTAATAATATTTACCACTAAGAAATATTTTAAACTAAAAAAATTAATAAACTTCTATTATTTACCTAACCACAATTGCGCACAATTCTTTCGACAGCTGTACATAACAGAAAAATCATTCTTTCCAGGATGAAGTAACTGTTTCTCCTCTTCTTCAGTTAATTCAGCTATACAACCAACTAGACGTTCTATTTTTTCGTTTTTGTACCACTTTCGTGTAGCTGATATCTTTGCCCCTTTCTGTCCCTCCAAGGAATATCTGTAACAAGGTTCTATCACAAATCCAGAGTCTTTGTCAAACACTCTTAGATAACGATATATCTGGAAGAAAAATATCATAATATAAAAACATGTCTATTTCTGATACAAAATATTATATTTAAAAAACATTAAGATGAATTGAGGATACTAAAAGTAAAGGGTATATGTGGCATTTTTGTAAATATTGAGATAACTGCATCGCTGAACTGGAAATCTCTCATTCTATTTGGAGGTAAAGAAATCTAAGCGTTAACAGGTGCTGCGTTCTAGGGGCAAGTTACTTAACCTCCAAGCCAACTAAGAGTAGGGCATGGAAGAGAAGAGGAATAAGTGCACTTGTACCCCTATTCCATTGTGTCAGACTGTTAGTTGAGTTTGTTATCATTTTGGATGGGTAGTTATATTATAGCTCCTCTAAAGCAATATTAATTTGTTGTTATAGTAATACTTTAAAGAGCAGTGTTTTACGTTCTTGTAAATTACAGTGTTTCTAAAAAAGAGTTCGTTTTTTTAAGCTTTAAAGGACATGGATGTACGTAATCTAAAAACTAAACGTAAGTTAAAAGGTTAAAAGACTTTCATAGGCTTAGGAAAGCCACAGACATAAAAGACAAAAGAAATCATCCTCGAACAAAATTTCTCAAAGAATTAAAATTAAAAAAGCCTATTAATAAATTGCCTAGGTACACAAGCCACTATACTA